CCTTTTCCCCAGCTTGAGCCCCCCCAGCTCTCTCAGCTGCTCCTCAAATGACTTGTGCTCCAGCCTGTTCCCATCCTTTTTCTCTTTCAGAAAAATCGACATGAATCACTCCTTCATCCAACAGCTCCAGAGCACAGGCGCCGATTTGTTCTTGGTTTATGAAATCCTGGAAGCCTCAGAGGAGACCATCTACGAGGAAGACACCAAGGAAGAGTGGAGCTTCTTTGCCTGGATTTACGCCAAGTTCTTTGGAGAGGTTTGGTTTCCTCCTGGGCTCAGGTGTTGCTCCTTCCCCAACACCTGCACCCAGGGGCTCTAACAGGCTGTTTTCTTCCACCAGGCCTCCAGAAAGCAGATAGAAAAGGCAGTCATACCCAAGGGCTGCACCCTGGCCTTCAGGGCCATCCAGATGAACATTAGCAAAGGAGAATGGGGTAAATAACTTCCAGAAATTACCAACTCCTCCATTCAGGAAACAGGGCAGAAGAGGAAGAACATTTTCTCAAGTATCACTCAGCCCCACAGCCACCCTCAGCTCATTTGCAAGGACATGGAGGCAATGGGAGGGACAGAAACCACCTGGGGAAGGTTGTCCAACCCATGGAAGGTCAAGGAGCTGCGTGGGAAAGGAGCAGTTTGGGGAGGGGTCGGTAGGAAAGGGCAAGAGGGACACTGGAACTCTCAGCTCTCCATCTGGGGAGCTGCAGAGCTCCTGGTGATAAATGGCACAGACAGTAGAGTTTAGACTGGTCCTTTTTCATGTTTAGAAGAAAAGAATTAGGGAGAAAACAGGGTGGGTGACCTTCAGTGGGAAGGCTGGGGAACACATTGTAAATGTTCTATTTATCCTGTTGCAGAACTGTCTTATTTTAAAGAAGATCCAGTGACAGGTAAGCAAAGTGTTTTTCTGCTACCACTTGCACAGTTTTTACCTGGTTTGAGTAAAATGGAATCTCCCAGGATAAAACAAACCACCAAGACTGTTGTGTTCCCCAAGACATAACAACTGCCCAAATTCCATCTTGCTTCCAAATCATTCACACCAGAGTTTCAAACTCTCAGTTTAGGGCTGCCACTGAACTCCCAGTTCAGTACTGACATCTTTGCACTCTTTCTGGTTTTCAGGTTACCAATTGTCATATTTCCCAAGACCAAAATTAGACACAGTGGACAGAGAAGTTAAACAATACTGTGGCATTTTCTCCGAGTTGCCT